AATTAATTTCTATGATTTTAATAAAAAAAACTAAAACCTCATAAATAGATTTATAAGAAGGAAGAAAACTCATATTATATAATAAATAGATTAAACAAATAACAAATCTGTGTTTCACTTAATTATTTTAATTTATATATCTATATAAAAGATAGCTCATAAGTTGAATTTTATCTTCTACACATTTTTCTCATTAAAAACATTACATCAATCATTTGTAATAGATGTCCAATTATTTTAATATTTGATTAATTTATAGTTTATTATAATTTTTATTTTAAATATTATCCATACACAATAGTATATAAATAATAAAAAAAATTTATCGAATTACTTATTTTAAAAAATTATTATTTAATATAGTGAAACGCTCAAATTTTATATTTCATCATNAGTTTATTATAATTTTTATTTTAAATATTATCCATACACAATAGTATATAAATAATAAAAAAATTTATCGAATTACTTATTTTAAAAAATTATTATTTAATATAGTGAAACGCTCAAATTTTATATTTCATCATGTCTTCAAGTACGAGTTATGACTAATATACATATATTACATGTTTAGTGGGGCGGGAAGGGATGGGGTAGGGATAAATTTCAATCTATTCTCGCCTCTATTTTTGCACAAATTTATACGAATATTCTCGTATATATCTACCATCTAATACGTATAATTTATATTCAATTCAAAAAGGTTAAATTTGTAAGAATACCCATTTTTTTTTTGGGTCCACTCTCATTCCTACCTCGAGCTCATGGTTAGTCTGCCTTACTCCTGTACACATTTCTCATCATAATTCATGAAGTAAAAGTTTTTTCTTTTTTGGGGAAATANGATTGGGATAAATTTCAATCTATTCTCGCCTCTATTTTTGCACAAATTTATACGAATATTCTTGTATATATCTACCATCTAATACGTATAATTTATATTCAATTCAAAAAGGTTAAATTTGAAAGAATACCCATTTGTTTTTGGGTCCACTCTCATTCCTACCTCGAGCTCATGGTTAGTCTGCCTTACTCCTCTACACATTTCTCATCATAATTCATGAAGTAAAAGTTTTTTCTTTTTTGGGGAAATATATGAAATAATTTATTTATTTTTTATCAATAAACATGTGAAATAAAAGTTATAAAAGAAAGAAAACTGAAAAAGGTGGAGGAACTAGAAAGAGCTGGCGTAGGGGATATGGTGGTCTACCCACCATGTTAATCCACCACCTGTCAGCTTCACTGGGCCCTACACGTGGACGGCCACAGATGTTTCCGTATGAGAAAAAACTGACTGTGACTGGTGAGGTAGGTGAAGTCCGTTCTGTTTTTGGGTCTTGAATTTGACGCAGACCAAAACCAAAAGCAACCCCACCACTCAATGGGCCCCACACACGACTAACTCGTATTCCCTGCCCTAACGTAATAAAATTGACCAGCTTTTGATGCTGGTCAACTCAGCCGCGTCAACACGTTTAAAACACACCTCTTTCTTTTCCATGTTTTTTTTTTTTGGCCTTTTCACCCCCAGCCAAACGAGCGACTATTAGGTGTAACGGTGAAACGAGGCAATCCATTTTTTTATTTTTTTTAATGGTTAAGGGTGTTTAGATTAATTTATGTTAATTTTAATTAATTTTTTTAATTTAATCAAAGGCAGACCATTATACAACGGAACTAAAATATTCATAATAGATAAATTTTTCTTTACTTAATCTTAAAAGATTACCAAAATTTAAATATAAAATATCTGAATTTACAATTCGTCACTATTTAATAGTAAATTTAAAGATAGGTAAAGTGAATCTCATTTAAATAATTACTAAATAATATGACAAGGTAATTATTATAATATGTAAGATGTACTTACTTATTTGTTCCAATGAGCTACGTGGGAGGGGTATGTTCAAATTTCTTTTATACACAGTCCTAATGTGATTGTGGTTGATCAAGATGGCTTATAGCTTTTCTTGTGCTGGAATCACAATCCCAGAATTTAAACCTTACGTGTACATATTTCCACAATGAAGCACCCAATCTACCAACTTTCATGAACTCTTCAACCCTCCTTATTTTGTAGTTTTGGCATTACGTTCAACGGTGTTTGCATTAATTTATATGTATTTTGATTAATTTTTTTTTTAATTTTGATTAAAGACAAACCATTCATGTTGAGTAATACTTTATAATCCTTACAAATTATGCCCCGTTAATTTTTACAAGTATCATTTATATTATTCATCATTTTTTTTGTTAACATGTTGAATATAAATTGAGGCCGTAAAATAATTTCCTATTAATTTGTTTTGGATTTATTTGTCATTTTCTTTAATACATGATGTTGTCCTATTCAAATACTTATTCTAAGTCTTTTATTAAATTCAATCAAATTGACTATTCTTTCGCTCACATTCTAACGTCGACGGCAAGTTTTTTCTTATTTTTTTAAAACAACTTATTTTCCTCGCATCTCTCTGTCTCTCTCCAATAAATAGTTCATATGAATTGTAATGGAGACTTTGGGATGGGGTGGGTGAAGATGGCAGGGTGATGCTGAATTTTTGTACATGTACATTTCACTAAATTAATGTTTAGATTATTTTCTTCTATCAAAAGAAATGATTCATATCATAATAAGTTATCATAACCCCAATCTTTAGAGCTTGTTTGGATGAATTTTGGGGAGGAGTTTAGATTGGCTTCTTCAAACCCAAATCCTTCTTTGCAAAGTTGAAATTTAATATTTAATTAAGTCTATACCCATATTTGATATGCAACACATACATATGTAGGACCCACGAATATATCATAATTATTAACAATTATTTGTCATGTAAATGATTATGTTACTCTTAATCAATCCAATTCATACTCATGTTAAGTGGTATAATTATCTTTTAGATCCTAAATCTCTTGTCCATCTTCTCAAACCCACCTTTTAAGGTTCGACCAAACTCATAATTATGAGTTTACGGGTTTAAACACCCGAGACTGAATTTCCCTTACAAATATGAAATTTAAGAGCCTTTGGACTATTTTTCCCAAACCATTTTACCAAGCCTCCTATACCACTTTATCAAACAGCCCCTTAGGGATAGTCCAATTGTCAAGTTTATTATCTTGCAAGCGCAAGCAAGAAAATCTCAAGTTCAATATTTCTCACACTTTCTAAAGGTCAGTCACTCTTGTTGTTCAGGGAATGTGACTTTAAACTAACTCGAGTTACAGTAGTTGGCTTAGAGCTCGAAGGAATAGTCGGTGCAAGTTTGAACATCTTGTAGCTAAAAAAGAGTTACCATATCCCTAAAAGAAGTTCAAGTGATAACTGAAAATAAGTTATAAATTTAGACATCCTTAGTTTAAATTTTAGCAACTCAAACGTCATGAGTTTGAATTTGACAATTTTTTAAGACTAAGTCATAAGAAATTTATTCCTTATAAATACTTTAATCCCGACATGGATCAACTTGCATTTCATCAAACCGAAGAGAACAATGATCGAAATATGTGTAATCTAATTTAGACATCTTCGCTCGTTAAACTAAAATAATAATAATAATAATCTATTGAGATCCCTAAATGATGGTAAGTTTTTCTGTTCAAACATTTTTCTTCAATTCATTATTAATTCAGATCAAAAAAAAAATTCATTATTAATTAAATTAATGATCTATGAATACATATTTTATTCTTTTTATCACCTCTGGTTTGCCAGGGGAACTAGAGTGTCGTACTTGAGTGGTTGCCAGTAAAAATGTCATTGTTTACGATTGCAAAATGTTAAAATTAAAAAAAAAAAAATCGTGTCAAATCCCCTATTTTTTGAGGTTAATTATATTAGAGGTCTCTAAAATATAAAATTTATTTTATTTTAATTTATAATATTGTAACTACATTATTTTAATTTCTAAAATATTGAATATATTTTTATGTGGTATTTCAAGTAGATGGGATTTAATTATAAATTTATCATGTAATACTAAAATATTGACAAAAAATTAATTTTGGTAGCTCTTGACCAAAATTTTACTCGAATTTTTGTCAATGAACTCCCAAAATTACACAGTTTTGGTCACGAGTTATCTAAATTATTTTTTGTCTATATTTAAGTATCACGTGACAAGTTTATAATAAAAAATCGTTGATAATTTTAGATGATATCTGTTTGAGAGACTACATAAAAATATATTTAATATTTCAGAGATTAAAATGATGTAATTAAAATATTAAGGACAAAAATAATATAAACTTCTTATTTTTGGGACTTCTAGTGTAATTATTCAAAATAACAAATTCTTCACCGTGCAAGATTGTCGTGTATTTCTAATACTTGTATTTTTATCCTAAAACTAATAAAAAAATTTCATCTAACATTTTTTTAATTATCTATATAATAAAACAAGAGTGTGTTTTAATTTTATTCTAGTCATATTTTTTTCCTCAGAACCATCACCAATCATTTACCTCAACCATCTTTCCTTTGTCATGCTCAAACATCAAATCACATCACTCATTTCTATTACATATTTAATTATTTATATATTTTATCCCTAAAGATATTACACCACTCATTTCTATTATATATTTAATTATTTAAAATTTAATTAATTTATAGTTAATATATTTTAAAAAAACTTGAATTTTATATTTTATCGTATAATATTTTTATATTTATCATAGTTGAATTTTGGCAAACATTAGATGTGAACGCAGAAGAGTCGTTGAATCTGGACACGACGAAATAAAGTAGAGAGAGAGAGGGGCTTGAATTCCAAACAAATAAATACGAAAGCCAGAGACTTTCTGGGCTGCTTCCATGCCAATTTCTCAAACCCCACTTTCACTGGAATCATTCAAAAGAACCAGTCAACAACCCCACCTCTTCACCACCAACCTCCAAACCCAAACCCCACTTTCCTTTCTCTTTCATATTCCTAGAAACTCTATAAAATCTGTTGAAGCTTCCCTTTTCCGTTGATCAAAACAGGTTTTCTGATCCAACACGCAACACCCAGATCAAATTAATCACCCAGAACTCACTTTTGGGATCACTGAGAACATACCCATCTTCTGAAAACTGGTTTTTCTCTCTCCAAGATCCCTGATCTTTCTGGGTCTATTTTCTCTCTCTTCTCTCTCTCTTGAATCAATCACCATGGACAAGTTTTTCAAAACCATTTTGTTTCTTTGTTTGTTGGTGTCTGTGTTTATTTCATCTTCTGCTCAAAGTTGCTCAAACTACAGATTCTCTAACAACAACCTGAACTACAGCACATGCACTGATCTTCCTCAGCTGAACGCTTTCCTCCACTGGAACTACCACCAAGCAAACCACACCGTCGACATAGCATACAGGCACACCGGAGCTACCTCCGGCCGGTGGATAGCTTGGGCACTGAACATCAACGGAAATGGAATGCTTGGAGCTCAGTGTTTGGTTGCTTTCACAAACTCAAGTAGTCTTGTTCATGCATACACTTCGCCAATTGGCACAGGTTCCAGTGATTATGGCACTTCACTTGCACAAGGGCCTTTGAGCTTTAACGTACCAAGCATCAGAGCAGTTTCTACTAGTAATGAGATGACTATCTTTGCTACTTTGGAGCTTCCAAGTGGACGAACCAGTTTTAACAATGTGTGGCAGGAGGGTCCGCTTTCTGGCGACACTCCTGCTGCGCACTCAACGAGTTCTGCAAATGAGAACTCTTTCGGAAGGGTGGATTTTGCCACCGGAGAGGCTGGTTCAGGTGGCGGCGCAACCATCCCACGGCTGAAGAAGAAAAATGTAAGTGATCCAATCTATTTTCAAAATTGAACTATTTTGTCATATTGATTTATAGATTGCTCTCTAGTTGGACCTGTTTGATTTACTGATTTTTTTTTTTTTGATCTTCTTCTTGTTCTTGCTGTGGTTGATAGTTTATGGTTATTCTCATATTATTTTATCACTCACTATCAATCATTTAATAAAAAAAAAATTGATAAATTCTATTGGCTCTTTTTGATTTAAGTCATATTTTTTGACACGTTTTTAAAATATTACTGTCAACCCGTAACATTTTGCTTATATGAAGAGTTTATGCGTCTATTTTAAAAGCTACAATTATTAATATAATTGCATTAGATTCATATAAAATTAATATTAAATTTTTTCCAAGTTAAATACAATTTAATCAAATTAACTTTTAATTTTATTAATTAACATTAAATTAACCCTTAATTTTATCAATTTGACTTTCAATTTTAATCAAATTAATGTTTAGCTTCACTTTCGCTATTTGTTTATTTTTTGATGAGCAATGCTATTGAGATCTAATTTATTCACCTAATTCGTTGACTTAATTCATTATGATATTTTAATTAATTGTGAATCCTATCAAATATTGAAATTTAGTATTAATTTAATAGTTTGTATCAATAAATTACGTCAAATTTTTAAGTTTAAATAATATTAATCTTTTTTTTTAATAGTGATATTAATTGACGGTAGGATGCGATGTAACCTTTAGGTTCAATATTTACTCCTCGGTCAACGTTCCTTCCTCCCTTTGGAAGGGTGGTTGAATGATTAAAGGGATTTTTCAAACTAAATTCAAAAAGCTTTGAGGACTGACTATACGAACAGGACCATTTTGAAGGACCTTTAAAAATTCAAATTCACATACGTCTCTCTCCGTTTCCCCTTCGATTTTTTTTACCATTCTTAATTTGATTTTCTTGATTTTTTCTCTCTTTTATTTCCTGAGATGGGTTAAAGTCATGCCTAAAATTCTAGACACGGTCCGATAAACTAACAAAAAATAGATATAAAATTAGTATGTTGGAGTTTCATCTTAGTGGGATTGGATGGTAAAAAGTGGACTCATATTTAACTAAATTAAATATGAACCTGTTGAACATCATTTATACATGACAACAAACCCGATATGAGACAAACCTAGCCATCATTAAGAGGTAGGGTATAGGTTTAGCAAATTTTAAACAATGATGGGGTGCTATGAATTTGATGGAAACACAATTCATTGACATTCTTAGTTAAAAATGTCAAAGAGTAACTCAAAAAGTAACAGATACGGACTGTAAATATAGATATCTTAAGTTAAAATTTTGACAACTTCTTGAGGTTAAGTCTTAAGAGATTTATCTCTCGTGAATATCTTAATCTTGGTGTGATTGATCGGACCAGAGAAGATAACAGTTGAGGTGTGCGGTAATTAGTCAAACACCCTAACCGATGAAAAAAAAATCCTAGTTAAAGTAAAAATGATGTTTAAATAAGATATACATCAGCATACATGCCAAATTTTTTCATATTTAGCTTTTGTGTCTCAATAACTTCATGGGTTTTGACTCTTTATTTGTATGGGATGAAAATTGCAGATTCATGGAGTGTTGAATGTGGTGGGTTGGGGTATTATGATGCCTGTTGGTGCTATAATAGCAAGGTACTTGAAAGTGTTCAAGTCAGCTGATCCAGCCTGGTTTTACCTTCACGTTGCTTGCCAATCTTCAGCCTATGTCATCGGCGTTGCCGGATGGGCCACCGGAATCAAACTCGGCAGCGATTCTCCTACCTTCAAATATAACACCCATAGGAACATTGGCATAGTCCTATTCTGCCTTGGAACACTTCAGGTACCCTCCTCTTCGACTTGGATGGTATCCGTCATGACATCTTAAATTATTATTCGTCAGTACACTCACAATGACTCGGCTGAGTTGACCGAATCCTCTCCAACAAACCACAAGTCACTGGACTCGTGGTTATACAGAACGCGAATGGAATATGCCAATTAGTATTGGTCGATTCTTTGAACCATGGTACATGCTAGAATGTACTAATATTGTCTTCGGTTGTTGTTTAGGTATTTGCCCTGCTTTTGAGGCCTAAGAAGGACCACAAATTCAGATTATACTGGAACATCTACCACTATGTGGTCGGATACACCGTCATCATCCTCACCATCATCAACATCTTCGAAGGTTTCGACATCTTGAAACCCGCCAAGAAATGGAAGAATGCCTACATCGGAGTTCTCATATTTCTGGGCGTCGTCGCCACTCTGTTGGAGGCCTTTACATGGTACATTGTGTTGATGAGGAAGAAGAAGGCAGGGTCCGATAAGCATGCCCATGTTGGCAATGGAGTAAACGGGTACCATACTAGGACACAGCAGGCAGCATAGATTGTATTACGTGCTCGGTTACGTGGGGGTACGGAATGCACATGTAACGTCTCGTCTTCTTATTAGATTGTGATATCACGTGTTGACATCACTGTTATACAGGGTATTTATGCCACGGTTAGGGTTTTTTTGGATCCCATATGTTGAGGGAGATTACTATTATTTTGTGATATTTTAGTGTTATTCTTTCTTGCTCTGATTTTTGTGTAGATTAAGGTGGTGGTCTTTGGACATGGATGCAGTATAGTTTTTCTCGTGTCTGTATGTACACACTTCCCATGTTTCTTTGTTCTTGTTAATTGCGTTCCGTTGATTTTTTCTGTTGTTTTATATTTTGAATTTGAATTATTTAGCGGCCTGTTGATGCATGTGTTAGTTTTGTTATTGAACATATTTGGACTATGATTTTTAATGTTCTATTTTGTGCGATGGATGCAAATAGTGTTGATAATTGAGCCGATCTATTTGAGTTTGGCTCGAATTGGACTCGATTCGATGAGTCGAACTTGAATAATTTTTCGGGTCGGCTAAGCTTACAAAGCTTGACTTGTTTATAAGTAAAATAATTGAGCTACTCAGACTCGGCTCGAGTTTGACTTATTTTGGACTCGGCTCGGACTTAGCTTATGTTATTAAAAAAGTCGAGTTTGAACAATTTTTTAAACTCGTTTATAAAAACGAGCTCGATAAACTCAAGTTCAATTACTAACCCTAGTTGGAAAGAAAGAAAAGTGGAAGGGATAAATTTTTTATTTTCGAAGGAAAGAAAAATATTTTTCTTCAATTTTTGTTTAATAGGAGGAATGAAAAGTAAGAAAAATATATCTCGTGTTTGATATTTGATGAAAAACGAAATGAAGTGAATGTTTTTATTATAAATCAATCCCATCAATTTTGAAAAGCTTTTAATCCCTTTATTTTTTTAAAAGAAAAAACTAAAATAGAAAAATATCTGAAATTGAAACTATATATAACAATACAAATTTATTAATACATTCGATAATTTTTTAATGAATAATACGTCAATTAATTTTGGTGTTCATTTATTATGTGTACAGCTATGTGCATGTCAACAAAGTGATGTTAAAAAATTCCAATCCAGCGCATTTGAAACTTCTTGGAATTTGGTTCTTGTCAAAGAATCAAATACAAAATCCATTACCTATCTATGCAATATTATAGTTTTATCCACCATTTGATAATACACCAAACAAAGAATGTTACAATCTCTGGTCGAGAACGGATAAAGATACGTTATCTTTTATATATATATTAGTTATTGTCTGTGTTTGAAGGCACATAGTAATAAAAAATGATAAATAATAAATACATTTATATTCATATTCAAAATTAAATCGCAAACATAGATAAGAGATAAAAGAATTTAAACATCGATTTGTAGTGGAGGTGAGAGATAGTGGGTGGTAATGGTGGTAGTAGGAGACAGTAATAGTTGTAGTGGTGTTGGTGGTGGTGGTAGTAGTGGCGGCGGCGATGATGGTGGTGGTGGCAGTGGCAGTGATGATGGTGGTGGTGGTAGTGGTAGTGGCAGTGGAGGGACGGTGGTGGGGGTGGTGGCGACGATGGTGGCGGTGATGACAACGGCGACGATGACAATGGTGGTGGTGACTGCGACGGTGGCAGTGGCGGTGGAGGTGGTGGGCGGTGGTGAAAGTGGAGGTGGAGGTGGCGGCGGTGGTGGTGGAGGCGGCGACGGCGGTGGTGGTAGAGGTAGTGGTGGTTCAAAATAATATATATATATATATTTTAAGTACTTATGAGAAATAATTCTTAAAAACGTTTTTAAAAAATTACTCTAAACACACCTTTAGGGATCTATTTTTTTCTATTAAATTTGGAGTTTTAATATTAGCCGTTAGATTAATTTTAAAGTAAAATTTAAAGCGATCTCAACCGCGATTAGCAAAAGTCATTTTGTTTATTTTTTTAGATTTAAATTGTAAACTACTTTATTATATAGATTATAGTTGCATTTGTGTTTAAATGTACGATACAATGTAAATGATTTTGAGAAGAATATTAGTGAGCACTAGATGAGTTTATTTGAGAATATCGAATGAGTTTATTGAAGTCTGTCATATTTTATATTATAATATATATAAAGAGAGGGGGGAAAGAGAAAGAGAAAGAGAAACAACAACAAAAAAATTGGATGAGAATAGCTAAAATTTGATTTGCATAGCCGAAAATCTAATCTAAACACCATTGATTTTGTCAGTTCGTCGTCTTCATTGTTCTTGTTGCCCTTGTCTTGAAAAGTGTGAAGTTGTGAATTGCGTATTGTGGCAAATACTTATTAGAATATATCTAAAAGGCCAAAAAGTAAAATTATCCTCCACACCAGGTTGTCCCTGTGTCGTCCTCTCATTTTCACCCACTTTTAGGGAAAAGAAAATTGTAAATCCCACATTTTTTANAATTAAAAATGTCAAAGAGTAACTCAAATAGTAACAGAGACGGACTGTAAATATAGATATCTTAAGTTAAAATTTTGACAACTTCTTGAGGTTAAGCCTTAAGAGATTTATCTCTCGTGAATATCTTAATCTTTGTGTGATTGATCGGACCAGAGAAGATAATAGTTGAGGTGTGCGGTAATTAGTCAAACACCCTAACCGATGAAAAAAAACATCCTAGTTAAAGTAAAAATGATGTGTAAATAAGATATACATCAGCATACATGCCAAATTTTTTCATATTTAGCTTTTGTGTCTCAATAACTTCATGGGTTTTGACTCTTTATTTGTATGGGATGAAAATTGCAGATTCATGGAGTGTTGAATGTGGTGGGTTGGGGTATTATGATGCCTATTGGTGCTATAATAGCAAGGTACTTGAAAGTGTTCAAGTCAGCTGATCCAGCCTGGTTTTACCTTCACGTTGCTTGCCAATCTTCAGCCTATGTCATCGGCGTTGCCGGATGGGCCACCGGAATCAAACTCGGCAGCGATTCTCCTACCTTCAAATATAACACCCATAGGAACATTGGCATAGTCCTATTCTGCCTTGGAACACTTCAGGTACCCTCCTCTTCGACTTGGATGGTATCCGTCATGACATCTTAAATTATTATTCGTCAGTACACTCACAATGACTCGGCTGAGTTGACCGAATCCTCTCCAACAAACCACAAGTCACTGGACTCGTGGTTATACAGAACGCGAATGGAATATGCCAATTAGTATTGGTCGATTCTTTGAACCATGGTACATGCTAGAATGTACTAATATTGTCTTCGGTTGTTGTTTAGGTATTTGCCCTGCTTTTGAGGCCTAAGAAGGACCACAAATTCAGATTATACTGGAACATCTACCACTATGTGGTCGGATACACCGTCATCATCCTCACCATCATCAACATCTTCGAAGGTTTCGACATCTTGAAACCCGCCAAGAAATGGAAGAATGCCTACATCGGAGTTCTCATATTTCTGGGCGTCGTCGCCACTCTGTTGGAGGCCTTTACATGGTACATTGTGTTGATGAGGAAGAAGAAGGCAGGGTCCGATAAGCATGCCCATGTTGGCAATGGAGTAAACGGGTACCATACTAGGACACAGCAGGCAGCATAGATTGTATTACGTGCTCGGTTACGTGGGGGTACGCAATGCACATGTAGCGTCTCATCTTCTTATTAGATTGTGATATCACGTGTTGACATCACTGTTATACAGGGTATTTATGCCACGGTTAGGGTTTTTTTGGATCCCATATGTTGAGGGAGATTACTGTTATTTTGTGATATTTTAGTGTTATTCTTTCTTGCTCTGATTTTTGTGTAGATTAAGGTGGTGGTCTTTGGACATGGATGCAGTATAGTTTTTCTCGTGTCTGTATGTACACACTTCCCATGTTTCTTTGTTCTTGTTAATTGCGTTCCGTTGATTTTTTCTGTTGTTTTATATTTTGAATTTGAATTATTTAGCGGCCTGTTGATGCATGTGTTAGTTTTGTTATTGAACATATTTGGACTATGATTTTTAATGTTCTATTTTGTGCGATGGATGCAAATAGTGTTGATAATTGAGCCGATCTATTTGAGTTTGGCTCGAATTGGACTCGATTCGATGAGTCGAACTTGAATAATTTTTCGGGTCGGCTAAGCTTACAAAGCTTGACTTGTTTATAAATAAAATAATTGAGCTACTCAGACTCGGCTCGAGTTTGACTTATTTTGGACTCGGCTCGGACTTAGCTTATGTTATTAAAAAAGTCGAGTTTGAACAATTTTTTAAACTCGTTTATAAAAACGAGCTCGATAAACTCAAGTTCAATTACTAACCCTAGTTGGAAAGAAAGAAAAGTGGAAGGGATAAATTTTTTATTTTCGAAGGAAAGAAAAATATTTTTCTTCAATTTTTGTTTAATAGGAGGAATGAAAAGTAAGAAAAATATATCTCGTGTTTGATATTTGATGAAAAACGAAATGAAGTGAATGTTTTTATTATAAATCAATCCCATCAATTTTGAAAAGCTTTTAATCCCTTTATTTTTTTAAAAGAAAAAACTAAAATAGAAAAATATCTGAAATTGAAACTATATATAACAATACAAATTTATTAATACATTCGATAATTTTTTAATGAATAATACGTCAATTAATTTTGGTGTTCATTTATTATGTGTACAGCTATGTGCATGTCAACAAAGTGATGTTAAAAAATTCCAATCCAGCGCATTTGAAACTTCTTGGAATTTGGTTCTTGTCAAAGAATCAAATACAAAATCCATTACCTATCTATGCAATATTATAGTTTTATCCACCATTTGATAATACACCAAACAAAGAATGTTACAATCTCTGGTCGAGAACGGATAAAGATACGTTATCTTTTATATATATACTAGTTATTGTCTGTGTTTGAAGGCACATAGTAATAAAAAATGATAAATAATAAATACATTTATATTCATATTCAAAATTAAATCGCAAACATAGATAAGAGATAAAAGAATTTAAACATCGATTTGTAGTGGAGGTGAGAGATAGTGGGTGGTAATGGTGGTAGTAGGAGACAGTAATAGTTGTAGTGGTGTTGGTGGTGGTGGTAGTAGTGGCGGCGGCGATGATGGTGGTGGTGGCAGTGGCAGTGATGATGGTGGTGGTGGTAGTGGTAGTGGCAGTGGAGGGACGGTGGTGGGGGTGGTGGCGACGATGGTGGCGGTGATGACAACGGCGACGATGACAATGGTGGTGGTGACTGCGACGGTGGCAGTGGCGGTGGAGGTGGTGGGCGGTGGTGAAAGTGGAGGTGGAGGTGGCGGCGGTGGTGGTGGAGGCGGCGACGGCGGTGGTGGTAGAGGTAGTGGTGGTTCAAAATAATATATATATATTTTAAGTACTTATGAGAAATAATTCCTAAAAACGTTTTTAAAAAATTACTCCAAACACATCCTTAGGGATCTATTTTTTCCTATTAAATTTGGAGTTTTAATATTAGCCGTTAGATTAATTTTAAAGTAAAATTTAAAACGATCTCAACCGCGATTAGCAAAAGTCATTTTGTTTATTTTTTTAGATTTAAATTGTAAACTATTTTATTATATAGATTATAGTTGCATTTGTGTTTAAATGTACGATACAATGTAAATGATTTTGAGAAGAATATTGGTGAGCACTAGATGAGTTTATTTGAGAATATCGAATGAGTTTATTGAAGTCTGTCATATTTTATATTATAATATATATAGAGAGAGAGGGGGAAAGAGAAAGAGAAAGAGAAACAACAACAAAAAAATTGGATGAGAATAGCTAAAATTTGATTTGCATAGCCGAAAATCTAATCTAAACACCATTGATTTTGTCAGTTCGTCGTCTTCATTGTTCTTGTTGCCCTTGTCTTGAAAAGTGTGAAGTTGTGAATTGCGTATTGTGGCAAATACTTATTAGAATATATCTAAAAGGCCAAAAAGTAAAATTATCCTCCACACCAGGTTGTCCCTGTGTCGTCCTCTCATTTTCACCCACTTTTAGGGAAAAGAAAATTGTAAATCCCACATTTTTATCTTTCTATATGTATATAGATTTATATAATAAGTAATTATTTCTTTTGAAATGTTAATATGAAAAAATTCGAGTAAATAGTAGTTAAAACTTAGTTTTAGCTTGTAGATATATGAAATCATTGTAATAGAACTTGTACTAACTAGATTTGACGTACAAATGTATGTGGTATAAGTTTGGGATGGTTTTGGATGGTTGTGGAACTGATTGGAATGGGTTGGAAATGAAGAATGAAAGATTTGTAGAAAAACATGTAAAACCTTTTGAAAGGTCGATGAAAAATCTTCCGGAAGGTTAAAGTAAAGTGTTAATCCAGTAGGCAAAACCTTCTGGAAGGTCGATGAAAACCTTCTGGGGGTTAAAGAAATGTTCTTCTAGAAGGTTAAGGTAAAGGCTTATCCAGTAGGCAAAATCTTCCGGAAGGTCGATGACAAACCTTCCGGAAGGTCGATGAAAATGTTTGTCCAATAAACAAACCTTCTGGAAGATCGATGAGAAACCTTTCGGAAGGTTAATGAAAATGTTTGTCCAGTAAACAAACCTTTCGGAATGTCTTTGAGAAACCTTCTAGAAGGTTAATGAAAATGTTTGTCTAATATGCAAACCTTCCGGAAGGTTTTCGAAAAATCTGAAATTTTAAGTCACGAACAACCAGCTTTCCTTCTACTATAAATACCTAAGGACGTCCCATTTAGCCTCATTTCAACATCTCTAACCCTAGAAAACCTTAGAGAGGAAGAAAGGAAGAGAAAAACACAAGATCAAAGGGGATTTCCACTTCAAGAAGATCAAAATCCTAGTTTTTTAAGAACACCAAGGTAGGGGTTTCTTCCTATTCTCTTACATTGAGGCTAGAGTTTATCTATATGTATTCTTTTGACTTTAAATCCTATACATATGTTATGAAATTATCATTCATTCGTCGTATTGCAATTATTATCATGTTTTAAACAAAATTAGGGTTGAATACCCATGAAACCTCTTTTTATTGATTTAAAACTCTAGTTTTTAAGAGAAATGAATTTCCTTCTTGATTCTTTCTTTGTTTTTGACTTTGAAACCTTAGTGTTTTGTGTTGAGTAATAAAATAATGTTATGATGATCTCTTGCTTATTTTCTTAAATTGTTCTCTTGTATTACAAATTGTGAGAATTGAGGATTTTTGATTTCCTTGTATTTTAAAGAAAATATTTGTTATTGCATCTCTTGTATGGTTGTTGTGATGGACTTGAATTACATTTGAACACTGCCGTAGAGTGTTAGAGGTTAGTCTATTCCAATGGGGGTGAGATGATTTCCTAACATTTGTAGTGGTTTGTTATTTGTGAGAGTAACCACTATTGTTCACGTAAATTCGAGGCTTAGGGATGGTATACCTTTCCTGAGAAAGATTTGTCAATGCCATGGGAGACGGTATACGCCCTTCCTAAAGTGGTTTGTGTGGTTATGATTGGGTGAACGAGGTAGAGTCGTTGTGTAGATTATTGGGAAACAACCAACATACATGAGAATATGAGATGACACTATTGAACGATTATTGTTATTGTGTGAAATTTGTTTCCTACAAGAGCTTGTGGAGGTGTGAGACTCTACAAGAACTTGTGAGAAATGGTTTATAGTTGGAAATGGTTAATTGATTTATTTAACATGCTTATTCCTTTCATTTAACTTGTTGCTATTGAGTTAACTTGAGATCAAATAAATTGTCACTGTTTTATTTCAAGTGATATATGCTATTTTGAAAATTGAGACCGAATTATTTTATATATTTTCTAAACCTTGTTCGAGATTGGGAGAATGTTACTACAGATCTTAGTGCTCACCCCCTACAAACTATATATTTTTTAGATTGTGGTCTAGACGAGGAGTTCAGAGTGGAGGAGCCGATACATTGGGAAGCTCCACTAGACGGGCTCGATTACCCCAAGGTGGATGTTTAGGGTTATACTCTCCTAGGTGCTAAACTAGAAAATTTATTTTGAGATTATGTAAAGATTAATCTTTTGTTATTCCGCTGCAAGTTTACATGTAATTCTTTCGGGATATAATAGTCATGTATTGACATATTCTTTTGGGAATGATGTCGTAAATATTACATTTGGTAAATGAAATTTCTTTATTGATAGATTTTATTAGTTGCTCTCATGATGTGAATGATTTTTAAATTGTAATGTTATCCAAAGTGATTTTTAGGGCGTTACAAAAATTATGGGCGGGAGGAAAAAAACTCTCCCTCTAATTTTCCTTTCCATTATACTTTCTTTTGAAACTGAACAATGAAAAATCTTTTCATCAATCCCATTTTTCTTCCTCTACTTTTCATTCATTCAACATTTCTTCAAACCAAATAGAGCATTAGATCAAAACTGAGCTTGGACAATACTTTATTTGGAGGTGAAGCTTGGTCACTCCAAAATAGAATTGATGAGACACTTCTAAGAATTGATTGGATCTCTGACATGTGTCGTCGGCACCGAAGACACATTTTTTGTTCTGATGAAGACACGTGTTCTCGGCACCAAAAGACATTCTCGTGCTCCAACAGAGGCACGTGTTCTCGGTGTCGAGGGTACCTCCAGAGCTCTAATATTTACATTTGTCCCCGGTGCCGATGGTACCTCCGTCGCTCTGATGAAGACACTTACTGAACTCTGGTCTTGCCACGTGTCTTCGGCTCTTAGAGAGGTCATTGAATTACTCTCCCAGTGAAGCCAGAATGACAGAATGAACAAGACACTCAACCAAGGGGAGTTGGACACGTGACATAAGGTACAGGTTGAGGGGTAAATGGACAAAAATATCCCTTCTGACATACGACAGTGTCAGACAAATATTTAATGAATCTTCAGCTGATGGGACACCCACGATGGCTTTCATGGCCGAGAGGAGGAGTATTAAATGCCCAAGTATTCGAGCATTTAATGCCTCTACATTGAAGAAAGAACATTAAAGGCTCAGGAGCCCGAACAATTAATAACGAGGTTTTTCCCATGCAAAATAGTAAGCACATTGCCCCATGAGTCTTTGGAGGTATAAATAGTTCTAAAAAATGTAAAGCAAAAGTATGCAAAATCATCTCTAAATAACAAAAAAAAAAGTGTTTTCTTCTTCCCCTATCTCAAAGAACTAACTTGATAGTCGGAGGAGATACACCGAAAAATACTCCGGTGCTCTTTTAACCTGTTTTTTGTGTGCCAGGAATTGCCCGTGACTCGCCGGAATCGATCAAGCAGCCCCTGAAGTAATTTATCACCACTCCTTAAGCCCCCGTTGGGCCATCTTGGTTCTTCCTTTGTCACAGGATCATCAACTTTCTTGACGAACACGAGTTCATCAAGAGACAGATCTGTCTTTTTCTCTATTGTGCAAAATTTATCACGCACAAGAATGATTATTCTTCTTTTCTTTTTTAAGTCCTTACCTCAACAAAATATACCTATAGTCTCATCTATCTCAAAGTCGGTTCAAAAATAGAAATAATTCTTCAATAGCATTCTAATGAATTGAGTTGTACAGTGTCACCCAGGCATGGAACCCACTACAACTTATAAGGCGAGGTCAGCCCACCTATAATTTTACCGTCTCACAACGAATCTATGGATTAGTTTTAATGGTCTCACCATTGAGCCTCCTAATAGGTCTCTTTTTTATTATCATAAAACTTCTTAGGTATGACTAATAATTGAGTTGAGCTACTCGGACTCGATTTGAAGGACTCAACTCGAATTTGGCTTGTGTTTTAAATGAACCGAATTTTAATAATTTTTTAAACTCATTTAAAAAATGAGCCTAAATGCTCGGCTAAGCTCGTTTATATGTAAAATAATAAAAACTATTTGGGTTCAGCTTAGGTTCGACTCATTTTGAGTTCAACTTATTTTATGAAAAAATCGATTTTAAATAATTTTTTAAACTCATTTAAAAAAACGAATTCTACAAATTTGACTTGATTAGCAATGCTACCCTCATGTTAACGGGTTAAATNTAAAAAAATCAATTTTAAATAATTTTTTAAACTCATTAAAATAAACGAACTCTACAAATTTGACTTGATTAGCAGTACTATCCTCATGTTAACGGGTCAAATCACAGGCCGAAAGCACTGATATGGAATTATCCATTGGACTATCGCCCTATTAACGGATAATCATGTATCGTACCAGACCAGCCCATCGTTAAAAGGGCACCGTTAATGGGCCAGCCATAGGATAGGCTTTAGATGCCACTGGATGTAGATTTTTCTGTAGTTTCACATGATGTGTGTCACATAAGATGGTTATATATTTCTTCTAACACATTTTCTTCCCGACCAAAAAAATATATATTTTTTTCAATTTTCTTTCTGGTTAATCTCTAGTGGGACCCACTGTATAAAGTGGGGCTCCTCCCTCATTAATAGTTGATGTTCAGCTGAGAATAAAATTGAAGGAAAAGTGTATTGCAGGGACGTGACTCCAATATATATTTACATAGAGAAGTGGTTATTGAGTTTTGTGAGACTAATTTACACATTCATTCACTTATTATTAGTGAACAGTTACATCACGTAACATCTGAGGAGGTGTAACCGTCACACTTAATATTATCTGAAAAGGGAGGAGGAAATATTCATTGCAACTATCATACTACGTCATCAGTCACATGTGGTATTACCTACCAATAATAATATATTATGTGTTTGTAGTTGATAATGCACAAAGTTGACTATGCACGATTCAGTCGAGTGTGTGGTATAAATTTATTAATAAAATAATTAATAATAAGAGACAAATATTAAGTAGTTAGGTCTTGGTGACCTAACCACTGAAGGTGGCAACGGTGGTCGGAGAATTCTAATAATAAGATGGTACAAGGTAATAGGAGAGAGAGAATACGTTTAAGGTGAAGTGTGTGAGATTTGCCCCCATGTGTAAAAAGGTTTACAATTTATAAGCACAGAATCCTAGCTGTGGTAGCGACGTGAAGGTCAAACTACTAATTTATCGGGAAGGATAACTACTATTAGGGATATGTATTATCTTGAAGTAATGATTATCTCGATGATTATTCTCTTACGTGCATTGACTTTCTTTGAACTCTTGAGCTTTTGATTGTACTAAAACCATGTGGTAAGACTGACCTGCCTTTTAATAATTTGGGCTTAACCTATGGATTAGGCTCAGACTTGATCTGAATCTGGGCTTGTCGGTAGTGAATTCTATTGTTTTTGTAATTTCTAATAATCACTATACTGACTGAGAGCATTTCTAGCATTTACCTTTTTTTTAAGACCCGAATTTAAACGTGAGTAAAAATAGTCTAAACTTTTCTCTAATACTACAAAACTCATACTAAATCAAGAGAGACTCAAACATTTATTCAAGTCATCAATAATTAGATTTTATTCTTTTAAATTTAAGTTTCTTCCCCTTTAAATATGTATTTGTCTTTTGGAGTCTTTTATATCAAAATAAATTTTTTACCCAAATGTTAATTATAATTTGAGTAAAAATTTTAGTTAAGGTTAAAGATGCTCTAACTAACGTTTTAACAAGTGAAATTTAGGGGCTGAACCACCTTATGCCCAGGAGGGGCACATCCCTACCCTCAAATTTTTTTTTTCCTAAAATTACTTGTATATATTTTAAGTTTTATTGACACCCTATTTTTTAATCAAGACCAGAAAATGCATGATATATCCATGAGTTTACTTATAATTTAACATTTATTTTAATAATTATCATTGATATGATAGAGAATATATTTTATTGTGTAATCAAATGAATGATAAATAGACAAGTGATAATATGATTATAGATATAAATAATAATGAAGTTAATACAAGACTTTTAACGTATAAAAATTCAACGAAGTTAATTCTAAATAGTTTTGATTAGCCTTTGTTTAGTAAAGAGATATTTTTTTTCATTTGTATCTACTATACTTTGCAATTTTAGTCTTTTAAATTTAATGAACTTTTAAGAATTAAATAAGATATAATTAAATATAAATGCATTATTTTATTTTTATCAATTACAAGAAAAAAATTAAGCTTGTTAAAATATACAGTACCCACCCTAATACAATTTTCTGGCTCCGCCCCTAGTGAAATTTACTTATAGTACATGATATATTATTATTGAAAAAATGCTATTTGAACCAAATTTAAGGACCTAATTAAATACAAATATTGAATTGAGAATATATTTGATCTAACTTTAGAATTCACAATTAATTCAATGTTTTCAATTTGGTCCATATAACATTGATCAGTATTATTAGTTGATGATATTAAGTGTCATTCATGAAGTGATATCACCTAGAGATAACAATTTCTAATACGACACGAAAATACGAATAGAAATTGATACGAAATTAGCGGGTTAAGATTAACTATTTTTTGACATGAACTTATAAATGGCAAGACTTGTGAACACGAATAGTAAATGAGTCAAAATTAGTGTTAAACATGAATAACACAAAATTGACATGATTAACGCATTTAACTAATATGTTGAGGGAGAAAATGTCAAATTTTTGTTATTTTTTAATAAGTATTGACATAATTCTTTTTATTAAAAGAGATGTTTTAACTAATTTTTATTATTATATTTATTAAATTAATTTTTAGTTTATAGAAAAAAGTGTGAATGTACGATTGTTTAAATGATAATGAAACCTTAAATTTAAATCTTAGTGTTAAATTTTCTATTTATATTACATGAGTTAATGCGAACACAACATAAAAATAAATAAATGAGGTCAATATGACAGAGTTAGTTAAATAAATTAAATTAAGGTTGATTAGTGATCGACAAACTCAACACAAATTACCAGTAAATAGGGTAGTCTAGTGAGGTATCGGGCTTACTCCTCATCTTGAAGTTGAGAGTTTGAGTTTTAGAGTCCCCATTAAAGTTTAGTGGTTTGTCGCTATATTAGTTTAGTTATGTCTGATCCCGAGAGTTGTTCCAAAGGTAGTCAGAGACTTTATGATCCTATCAGAGTCTATTAGGGTAGTTGTTGGACGTTCTCCCTTACCTCCACTCTTTTTTTTTAGTCCACCAAAAAAAAAAAATTCAACACAAACTCTTAAATAACACGATACAAAATCACTCGACATGATGCGACCACCACCTATCATGGTTACAGAAAAGGGTGAGAGAGAGGCGTAAATATTTAATGCAACGAAGATAACACGTAATCATTGTTCTATTATGTTATTATCCAATTAAAAAGTTATAAATAAATAAAATGGACTCCACTAAAATAAAGTAAACTCCAGTATTTTTATATCTATCGATAACTACCACGTTCAATCATAACACATCACATTAATAGGATCCAATTTATTTATTTATTTATCTTCTAATTGGACGGTGACACCGGCGGTACGAGTGAGAAAACCTCCGCCACATAACCTCCCGCACCAGCCAATTCTCACCAATAACATTAAGAGACTGAAGCGAACAAATTAGAATCCTACTTGTTCTTCTGCTGCTGTGGCCACTGATTCGACGGAGACGCCTGTTGTTGCTAACGAATAAGACAGGGCCTCAATTGAGGCTACCGAAGAGAAAGTCGTGCTTCCAACTAATGAATCCTTTGACAGGCTTCTGAGAATTCGCCATTCTGTAATTCCATTTCTCCTTCTTAATTTGTCATCTTTATTTTTGAGTTTTTAGTATTTTCGTTTGTAGTAATCTGTTTGGCTGCTGAGAAATGAGAAGAGCCGGAGAAAGAATTTTTTTTTTTTTTTGAAATTTAGTCATGTTTTCTTTCTCAGTGTTTAAATTAATAAACACCACTCTTCTAAGTTAAATATCTGGGTTTGCTAGCCATTTCCTTCTTTTGACAGGTACGAAATCGAATGTTGGGATGGTCACATAATAAAAAGAGGAAGTATAAAGTTAGAAATGAGCATTATTCTTTAAATGATAGGCAGCTTAGCATAGATTCAGAGAAAATGGAATCAGGTGGTTTGGGCATGGACAACAGAGGTGTCATGACTTTGGGTAGAGAAAAACCCAAGTTAATGTGGATTGGGATAATTAAAAGGATATGTTTGTTTAACTAGAAGATGTCCCTATAATAGAGCTGAAGTATGAGAAATGATAGATGTTGAAGCATAAATACTTAAGTAACACTCTCTCCAACAGATTAAATTTTTTGAGTAGATCAGGGTAGGAGGTTCAGTGTTTGAATCTCGCCGTTACCCTAATTATTAACAGATTTTCACGTGCCAGACTCAAAATCTAATGGGGGTGTGATGAAGCGTAAATACTTATGTTACACCCTGTCCAACAACTTAAGCTTTTGTAGGAGATGGTTGCTTAACAATAGATGTAGTAGATCCCAAGCATTGGGATAAGATTTTGTTTGGTTAACAACCATCCCAAATTACTAGCAACGTATAGCTATATAGTCGCAGGTACAGTACATGCACCACGTTTTTTTAATCCATATGGTTTCTATTGTCTTTATATTTTTTGATAATGATATGGAGAGGAAATGACATTTAAAGGATATGATAATGAAATGTAGATGCATCACTTTTAGTTGGTTCGTCAATCATAGTAATGGATTTGAGCCCTGGAGTCTATCTATGTTAGTCTCCAAATTGCCGCTTGCCCAAAGCATTGTTTATTGATGTAGTATTCACATTTTGTTTAAAGTTGATTCAAGCATTAGTAATTGGGAAGAGCTCAATATTGATTCGTAATCAGTCACGNTCTCCAAATTGCCGCTTGCCCAAAGCATTGTTTATTGATGTAGTATTCACATTTTGTTTAAAGTTGATTCAAGCATTAGTAATTGGGAAGAGCTCAATATTGATTCGTAATCAGTCACGTCATGGTTATGTGTTTGTTAGATCTTGATCGTTAGTGCAACAAAAACATGCACATTGCGTNTATTCACATTTTGTTTAAAGTTGATTCAAGCATTAGTAATTGGGAAGAGCTCAATATTGATTCGTAATCAGTCACGTCATGGTTATGTGTTTGTTAGATCTTGATCGTTAGTGCAACAAAAACATGCACATACTGCGAATTTTGTTGAACTGAACAATCTTATGCATTGATGCAGTGTGCTCATGTGATGACCATGGCTGTTCAAAAGCTATACCCTGATACAAAGGTGACAATTGGGCCATGGATAGAAATGGGTTTTATTATGACTTCGATATGGAGCCTTTGATAGATAAAGACCTGGAGAGGATTAAGAAAGAGATGATGAGAAGACTTGGTTAATGGTAAAAATTAGTATGTTTTTTAAGGTGGTTGGTCCTAAGTTGGGAAAGTATTCATTATTTTATGNTTTTTTTTTTGGCACGACGAGGAAAGTAGATAAACTTTGATAATCACAAAAGAGATGATAAATAAAGAAGACTATAAAAGTGAGATAAAAAAAGAGTTTCAAATTTTGTTATCAACTGCTGGCTCAAAGTGAAAAACTCCTCCAAACAAGGAGCCTACAGATCCTGGACATACCCCAGTACGCCAACAAAAAAGCTAATAAAATTCAAGAACTTCAGCTTGTGAATGGAAGTTCCATGACTTAAATACGTATCATATTCCTCTCCCTCCATATTATCCACGTATGGCAATGTGATTGGCATTTTATCATACCCTGTCTCTCTTCCTTATATGGCGAAAATTGCATGTTGCAAGTCCCTCAACACATCACAATGAAGCAATAAATAAACAACCGTGAACCGTCAATTCCAAACTCTTAACACGAATGCTACCAATTAGTAAAAAGTAAATTATACTTCAGGTCAATGGATCTAGTGTTTGAACATGTGGTGGTATTGTACACACAAAGATTTAGCCTCCTGCTAATGTTCATTTGTTTTTCTCTAACTCTTTTATCTTATTCTGTATTCTTTCCAGGCAATGAATGGTGGGATCTTTGTGCTGGTCCTCATGTTGAATCTACTGGAAACATTAACAGGAAAGCCATTGAGCTTGAATCTGTCGCTGGTGCTTACTGGAGAGGAGACACAAATAAGCCAATGCTCCAAAGGATATATGGCACTGCATGGGAGAACGAGGTGGAGTTGAAAGCCTACCTTCACTTTAAAGAGGAGGCTACATGCTGGGATCACAGGCGACTTGGCCAAGACCTTGATCTGTTTTCTATACAGGTAGCTTTCTTTGAAACTGCAATTGCATGGTGTTTGCAACTTCTTGTGTGCTCTGATGGTAGTTGGGTTTGCATTGCTATTTTTCATCTCTGCTTTACTAATTCTGTTCATTTGCTACAATGAATTCACAAATTTAAACTCAGAACTTCTAAGCAAAAATTCTGCAGGATGAAGCTGGTGGAGGGTTGGTGTTCTGGCATCCTAAGGGTGCTGTTATAAGACATATAATAGAAGATGCTTGGAAAAAGATTCACATGGATCATGGTTAAGATCTGCTGTACACCTCGCATGTTGCATAGGCAGATCTTTGGAAGATCGGTGGTTATCTGGACTTCTACTGAGAAAATATGTATGATCAGATGAAGATTGAGGAAGAACTTTTTCAAATTCGACCAATGAATTGTCCTTACCACATATTGGTTTACAAAAGGAAGCTGCTTTCTTATCGGGGTTGTCCTGTCAGTTGCAGAGCTGGGAACAGTATACAGATGAGTTGTCCGGTAGCTTACATGGCCTTTTCTGTGTAAGAGGTTTTACACAGGTGCATTTCCTTCGTTCCCACTCTGATTTCCAAGTTGTTTATAAATTCATTTGGATTTCTCGTGGTATGTGATTCACGGTGTTAGATTATGGCAGGTATAATGGACACCTTAAGTTTTTTGGTTGACCCATATAATGGACACCTTCAATTTTCTAGTTTTAGACTTCTAACTGGCAAACCATTATGCGATCATATACAGGAACACAGACTCCTCATGTTCACTGGATTGTGAAGAAATTATTTCATCAATTTTGTTATCAATGGAGTGCATGTTTTAGGATCCTTTACATAATGTGGAAATAGTTTTGATGTTTCTCACTTATCTATCCGAGAAACACTCATTGTTGATGGATTTAGTGTTCAACATGAAATGCATCACTAATGGACCTGTGAATGGTAGCTTGCAAACCTTGATGAGGTCGTAGGTAAAGTATTGCAGGGAGGATGGTATCAAACTACCTCTTTTTGCGGGGTCCTTGATGAAACTAAACATGTTAAGCTTTTTTATTCATGCATCGTTTGTTTAGATGCGCACATATTTTGTTTAGATGATCAATGAAATTCGGGGCGTCCTAGATCTCACTGAGGAAATATTACTGCGATTTGGTTTTAGCAAATATGAAGTGAACCTTTCAACAAGGCCTGAGAAAGCTGTGGGAGGTGATGACATATGGGAAAAAGCAACATCTGCCCTCAAGGACGCATTGGATGATAAAGGGTGGAGCTATCAGATTGATGAAGATGGTGGTGCCTTTTATGGTCCAAAGATTGATCTCAAGATTGAGGATGCTCTTGGAAGGAAGTGGCAGTGCTCAACCATACAGGCATGTCCTGAATTTGGAGTAGCTTATATTTTGATGTGGGGTTTTCACAGCTTGGGCTATTTTGGTACAGCAAGGATGCCTCTGTGTGTGTGTGCTTTCTCTTTTCTCTCTCTTCTCTCTCTTCTCTCTCCTTTCTCCTGGATGTGATTGCGGAACTTAAAACATATTTTTTTTTCAGATATCTTGACTTTGATCTTAGTCAACCTCTCTTGCAAGCTTGAAACTTTTTTTAGGGCAGACAATTGGTATGCAATCCTGTAATTGACAAATGATCTTCTGTTCCACATGTGCAGGTCGATTTTAATTTACCACAGCATTTTGACATTACATTTGTTGATTCAAACTCAGAGAAGAAGCGGCCTATTATGATCTGTAGAGCTGTTCTTGGATCCTTGGAGCGGTTCTTTGGTGCCTCATAAAGCATTATGCTGGAGATTTTCCATTATGGCTTTCTCTGGGCCAAGCACGAGTTTTACCAGTCACAGACACACAGGTAAATATGTCTTCATTCTAGAGTCCGTTTGATATCAGTGAAAACCAAAGTCAACAAATTCCAATGGACGACTTCACCATTATGCTTTTCCAGTCCTAATGGCTAATATATTATTTTTATGGTATACTTCCTTCCTGCCATTTGTATGATGGTAGATCACGCATCATAGCCTCATTGAAGAGCAATGTGGCTTCTTTTTCCAAGACAGATTGCTTAGAAAACTATTGGAGTCTTAATCTTTTGGTATTTACCCACTGATATGGGGGTTGTGGCACTAAATTACAAATTGCATGTGTTTACAGCTTGAGGTGGCCAGGATGTTGAAAGTTAGTGGTATCCGGGCTGAAGTTTGCAGTGGCAAGCGGTTGCCAAAGCTCATTAGGAATGCTGAGAAGCAGAAAATCCCACTGATGGCGGTCTTAGGGCTGAAGGAGGTAGAAACACAAACTGTAACGGTTAGATCTAGGTTTGGTGCGGAGATGGATACCATGACAATAGATGATTTTATTAGTAGAACCAGACATGCAACAGAAAACAGAACCTTCATTTGAAACGGTTGTTGTTGGAACTATGGCTGTCCGGGCTCGCTTTAATTAGGTCCAAATAGCATTGTTGTCGGGTATATTGTACACGGATATCAAAACATTAGATCGGATATATACAATGAAAAAGAGTGTTATACGTTTTTGAACCCAGAAGCATTTTGTTCATACTCTGACTATTATGTATATTTGGAATCTTGATGTTAAAAATCATCAATACAGCTTCCACATTTACATAGGCCTTGCCCTACCTGCTATTGATGAAGCAAACGACAAAACTTGAATAATTCTAATGAAGTGAAAAGAACTATGTAAATGTTCAAAAAAGAACCAATGTTACAACTTTAATAATTATGACAATCGAGGTTAAGTTATAAATTTTATTATGACATAATCTTATTGAATTATAATTTTACCCAATTAAGTTGTAACTCTGGGTCTAATTTTAAAAAGAACTACTTTGCTACTGTAGTGTTTGGCAAACACAAATTATGCTAAACCCCAAGGGTCTGTTTTGGTACGTAGGTTTTTTTTTTTTTGGTGGGGGGTGTTTGGAACTTAGGTTGAGGAATAAATCCCCTCATAGTTCAAGGCTTAAAACCTAATCTGATTTAGGCCCACTCATGAAACCCAAGTTCATGGGATTCATGAAATCGATAGAGAGTAGGTTTTATACGTGGGTTAATAGGTTTAACATCTAAATGATATTTGTACCTTCCATATATTCATACCCATGTTTAGATTAAATCGATTAAGAGGCACAATAGTTATATATATATATTATCATACTAATCATATATCCCTGTGCATACCAATCATGGGTATGGACAACATTAAAAATTGAATTTCATTTTTGAATCCCATCTTTGGGTTTGGAAGTGTTTAGACAAGTCAATCTAAACCCTCTCAAAAAATATACCAAACAGGCCCCAAAAGTACTTCAGTTCGACTATGCCAAAAATTGAAGAAATTAAATCATAAGGGATAATTTAAGTGGTAACTGATGGGTCAAGCCCAAAATGGCCCAATCTATGTGCAAAGTCCAAATCTCGATTAAGAAGCCCTACCTCATTTAAAGATCCACCAAGCCCAACATAGCTCAAGACCAAATTAGACTCTTTGCTTAGCCGCGTCATCAAGGGGAGAGCATGAGAAGTCTTATCTGTACCACCGAAGGAAACGGTCCACCCCCACCATATCTTTGACCGCGTCTCATGGAGAGCTCCTCAACCACCTCGCTCGTTGAGAAGAGATTAGAGCTCCACCGAAATGGTTGCTTAGTCACTAGAAAGTAGCCTCAACCTGTTAGGGAGCCACTATAAATTGCATACTCCATCAATACTTAGGAGGAGACTGATTGTCTGGCATCACACCTTCCCTGACTCTCTCTTCTCCCTCGAAGCTTGTATTCTCTGTCTCTCCACCCTTAAATTAATAAAGTACCCAACAATGAAAGACATTCAAGAGTGGACGTAGGTCGAGTTGACCGAATCACTATAAATCTTGTCTCCTTCAATTCTCTCTTTACTTTTATTGCATTTATTATTTACACTTGATAGGTGGTATACAAAACTATTTTTGTGCATCATCAGTTTGGCGTTGTCTGTGAAAAATGACAAAATTCTCACTCCTGAACATTACATCCACTAAACCAATGGCAATCACTACCCGATCCATGAACCAACCTGAAGACAATCCTCCACAAGAGGAGGAGGTTACTCCTCCACCTACCAACTCTGTCCTGAATGCTCCAGCTCTGAATCCCCAGCAAATGTTGGAGACCATGCAGCAGATGGTGGCCCAAAACCAACAGTTACTGCAACTCATGCTTGCTGGATAAGGAGGAGCACAACTTGGAGGTGCACAACATGAAGGACCCTAAGGAGCTTCACGCCCTGGACACCAAGGAGCACCACACCTAGGCGCCCCATTTGGGGGAGCCCAACATGAGGGAGTTCCACCTCCCCCTTCTCTTGCTTCACATGGAGAAGACCCTTATCTCCAAGGGGATGAGGGCAAAAACCAAAACATCGAGCATGGAAGTTATTTCCATGATCATTCCAGAGGAGCCCCCAATCATTGGGACGAGAAAATCAAGGAAGTATAAAATTAACTGGGTGATGTCTTCAATGCCATGAAGGCACAGGGACCCGAAACTGTAGACCACCTGGTAAGGCGTACGGATACGCTTTTCAAGCCTGATGTAGCAAACTACCCCCTCCCTCAAAAGTTCAAAATGCCATATGTGGAGACCTTTGATGGAACAAAGGATCCACTAGACCACCTCGACACTTACAAGACTTTGATGCAGCTGCACAACGTACCAGATGAAATCATGTGCAGGACATTTTCAACCATGTTAAAGGGGTCTGCCCGACAGTGGTTTGCTAAGCTCTCCCCCGCCTCCATTGCCTCTTTCGCTGAGCTTAGCAGATCATTCGTTTCATATTTCATTGGAGGGCGTCGCCACCAGAAGCCTGTTACGCACCTACTTAGTATAAAACAGGACCGCGAGGAGAGCTTGAGGAGTTATCTCACTCGTTTTAACGAGGAGGTACTCCAAGTTGATGAGCTCGACGACAGGGTGACGATGACCGCCTTCTTGGGTGGCCTCCGTTCATCAAGCTTCCTTTTCTCAGTGATGAAATGCCCACCGAAAAGCATGCCAGAGCTGCTAGCCAAGACCCAAAAGTACATGAATGCGGAAGATATCACAAGGGCCAGGCGAGGTGAGTCTTCTAGAGCGGGGGAGAAGAGGAAGGAAAGGGAGAGGGACGATAAGAAAGAGACTAGCAACAAGCGTGGCAGAATAGAGAGAGTCCTTGTCAAGGATCGGCTAGGTCCTGCTTCTCAGAGGGACCGTCAACCCTTCACTCCCCTTAATGCTGCCGTGGGACACATCCTATTCCAGATTCAGGATGACCCCGTGATAAAGTGGCCTGGGAAAATGAAGTCTCCTCCAAATCGCAGAAATCCTAACAAGTATTGCCGCTTCTATTGCGACCACGGGCATGACACCGATGACTATTACGACCTCAAAAGGCAAATTGAGGAGCTCATCCAGCGTAGTCATTTACGCCAGTATGTTGCTGGAAGGGAACGAGCACCACAACCTCACAATCAAGAAGATCAACAGCCCGTGGGGGAGATACACATCATCTCAGGAGCACTAGCAGGAGGGGGAGAGTTATTTTCTGCAATGAAAGCCCATGCTAGAAAGGCAAGGCATGTCGACGAGATGTGCCCATCTAAGGTGCCGAAGCAGGACAGCGACGAAGTCATATCTTTCTCAGATAAGGACCTGGAGGGAATTCAGCACCCCCATGATGACCCCTTGGTGCTCACCATGACAGTGGCCAATTTTAATGTGCGCAGGATCCTGGTGAATAGTGGCAGCTCTGCGGATATCCTGTTCGCAGAGGCTTATGACAAGCTCAACCTGGGCAGGGAGAGGCTGCAGCCTATCAGGTCACCTCTTATTGGATTCTCAGGGGAGAAGGTGTATCCCTTTGGGTCCATCACACTTTCTGTCATCGTCGGAGTAGCACCCCAAAGCTCCACAGTTATGGTCAATTTCCTGGTAATAGAGTGTCCGTCAGCCTACAACATCATATTAGGACGACCAACTCTTAACACATTGAGAGCTGTGCCCTTCACTTATCATCTCGTTCTCCGTTTTCCAACTTCAAATGGAGTCGGAGAGGTCAGAGGAGACCAGGTAGCAGCCAGAGAGTGCTATGTCTCCTCTATGAAGGCTAGGAAGCCCCAAGAAGCGTTGCAGGTTGAGGTCCTTGACCCAAGGGATGATTCCACTACAGAAAGAGGAGAACTAGTCGAGGAGCTCACCTCTGTAGTCTTGGATGAGTAACATCCAGACAGAAGAATTTACATTGGCTCTTCCTCTTCTGAAGATCTGGCTAGCTTGCTAATAGATTTTTTGAAGCACAACATGGACGTCTTTGCGTGGTCGCATGAGGACCTTGAGGGCATTGACCCAGAAATGGCCACACACCGTCTCAATGTTGATCCACGTTACAAGCCTGTTCATCAAAAGTTAAGGGGAGCCTCCACTGAAAGGGCCCAAGCTATAGACAAGGAGGTTGGAAAACTAATAGATAACAGGGCAGTCAGAGAAGTAGCATATCCTGAGTGGCTCTCCAACGTGGTAATGGTCACTAAAGCTAATGGAAAGTGGCGCCTCTGCGTCGACTTCACAAAACTCAACAAGGTGTGCCCAAAAGATAGTTACCCACTGCCGCGAATTGACCTCCTCATCGACGCCACCGCGGGGCATGAGTTGCTCACTATCCGAGATGCATACTCTGGGTACAACCAGATTAGCATGTATCCCCCAGACCAGGAGAAGACGTCATTCATCATGCCAAAGGGGACATACTGCTACAGGGTCATGCCATTTGGACTAAAGAATGCAGGAGCAACCTACCAACGACTGGTGAACAAGATGTTCCAGTCTTAGATCGGGCGAACAATGGAGGTATACGTGGATGACATGCTGGTGAAAAGTCTTGCGGTAGTGGACCACATTGATCACCTCCAAGAAACTTTCAATGTCCTGAGGTCCTATCACATGAAGCTCAACCTTGAGAAGTGCGCCTTTGGTGTGGGATCAGGCAAATTCTTGGGCTTTATGGTCGACCAGAGGGGAATTGAGGCGAATCCTGACAAGATCAAGGCCATCCTCGACATGAAGTCACCCTCCTCAACCAAGGAGCTCCAGAGCCTCAATGGGAGAATCGTAGCGTTAAATAGGTTTGTCTCCAAGTCTGCAGACAAATGTCTCCCTTTTTTCAAGACTCTCCGAAAGGCCTTTGAGTGGAAACCTGAGGTAGAGGAGCCCTTTCAAAGGCTCAAAGCCTACCTGGCAGCACCTCCCCTCCTGTCACATGTCACTCCAGGAGAAGCTCTCCATCTGTACCTTTCTGCTTCCTCATCAGTAGTAACTTCAGTGTTTGTCAGAAATGGTAATGGAGTGCAGAAGCCAATTTATTACGTGAGCAGGGCATACCAGGGGGTAGAGGTCAAATATTCGACACTAGAAAAACTGGCACTCGCTCTTGTCACGATAGCGAGACGACTGCGACACTACTTCCAGGGACACTGTATAATGGTCATCACGGACCAACCTCTTAAAAGAGTCTTGGGAAAGCTGGACGTATCTGGAAGACTTCTTAAATGGGCAGTGGAACTCGGGGAGTTCGACAT